GTTCAGACCAGATGTTCTGATTCGGTATGAGGAAGGGGCCAGGAAGATGAAAAAGGAATCTAGGAGTAGGAGACAGCGTGGGATGCTCAGCACAGTGGCAGCTGCTGTGAATCAGGACAAGTAAAGAGAATTAGAAAGAGAGTAAAAGATAATCCACTGGATGTTGGTACTTGGAAGATTCTCCTTCAAGTGGCAAAATTTTAATGACTCAGTGTAAAGATTAAATGTACCATGTGGGTCTTATGTGATATGTTGGTGTTTTGATTTTTAATTATTTGTATTAAACTTTGGGCATCACAGAAGAGCTATATTTATAATAACATAACTTTTACAAATATAGACAGTGGAAAAATAACAGGTAAATATTTAGAGAGAGCAGTAAAGGCGTGGTGGAAGAAAGGTCAGTCTGCCTTTGAGCGAGTGACACCGGTCGCCTATGAGCAGGAGGGGCAGTCCCAGGATCTCTGCCCATTGCATGGTTTGTAGGTGTCGGGTCACCAAGAAAGACATGCCTCACACAGGCACTGGGTGGAACTACACTTTACTCACTTGGATAGGACACGGACACCGTCAGCTTCAGTAGTAAGCATCGGTCCCCCATGGCTGGGGAGATGGTCTGCAGCACCCTCGTGTGCAGGCAAGGGTCCCATTCCCTCCCCGCCAGGAACAGATAGTGCAGTGGTCCTGGCCAGGTGCCATGTGACACATGTTTACACAGAACAAGGAAGTGCACCCCAAGCCCACAACAGGCAAAGATATTCCCAAAGAGCTGTGCCCTGCGCAGGCTGGGAGGGCTCCTCAGTTCCATGTGAGGAAATGTCCCAGGTCGATCCCTCTCTTCCACTGCTGCAGGGCTTGGTGGGCTGTGCACGACCACCTTTCCCAGCATGACCAGTGCATGTCTTCATTGGGGGGAGTCAGCAGATTCTGCCTGAAGGCTAGGAGTCCAAAACATTAAAGTGTATTACTGAAAGCAGTAAAAGGAGAAGAGGTAGTGATTGCTGAGTGGGACTGGTCATGATGACGGGTAAGGACAGTACTTTTTCTGTGTGCGTGTTACTCAATTTTTTTCAACCTCTCTGACTTAAAGCCCCTTTCTCCAAGAAGGTAAGAAGAATTTGAGTTATTCTGGAGTGACTTTTCCATGGGTGTCTCGCACTCTGCCTGGCTTTGCTGGCTGTGTCGGGAATGCAGGGTCCTGACCGCTGCTCACCCAGGCCAGCTCTCAGGACTGCATTTGCAGCGAGCAACTCGAGGGATGAGGTCATGTCTTCTGGGAAGAAGAGCAGGCTTTCTTCCTGCTTACTATAAAGTGGTGGGTTTCCCGAGCTCAGGGCCCTCTCCTATAAAGTTCACTGCTTGGACAGGGACCCCCCTGGGCCCTGCAGTCACCCCCAGGGGACTTGCCGGGCAAGGAGAAGCTAACACACCCACTGAGGTTTATGCTGCTTGCTGGACTTTACCTCTGACCTGTGAGCCTCACGTCCCCTGCCAGTATTCATGCAACAGTAACAGACTTATTTGCTTGTAAGCAGGACAACATCAAGTTCTGGACCCAGCAGGTACCTTTATGAGAAAACTTTTTTTTAAATGAAAGAATAAGAAAATGGGTAAAGCCACCAAACAGGTAGATATACACTAGNTTTTTTTAAATGAAAGAATAAGAAAATGGGTAAAGCCACCAAACAGGTAGATATACACTAGCATAGACTATTTTGGGGTGGGGGTTGGAGGGCCAGTACGTTGATCCGAACCCTTGACCTTGGTGTCACCAACACCACATTCTAACCAAGTGAGCTAACCGGCCAGCCTAGCATAGACTATTAAAGCTGAGGAATCATCTTCCACACCCCATCAGCACACACTATAAAAGAGCCAGGAGAACAAGTTGAAGTTTTAACAGCAGAAATGAGAATGTTTTAAATGCTGTTGACAATTCACAGGGCAGTGGGTAAGGTTGTCTGAAAGCCACCAAAACTTCTGGGGAAAAGGAGGCTTAGCTTTTGACTCAGTAAGTTCAAAGGTTGTTAGGTGGGAAATACATGTTCATATCTTAGCAAAAAAAAGTCCAATGAAGCAACAGTCTGTAGGATTTGCAGAACTGAACAGAGAACGAGAAAGAGGTCATGTGTGAACTTGAGTCCAGGGAACTATGTAAGCTATGGGAGGCCAGCTCCTTTCAGGTTAT